CAGACTCTTGAAAACCGCATCCACATAACACGGTGTTATTAGGACAAATTAGGCCACTAAATTGGTAAGAAGTCCAATCTAGTCAATATTGTTTGAACCAGTTTGAGTAAAATTTTAAAAGAAATATAAATAATATATTAAAGAAAAAATTAACTTTATTTGAATACTCGAAAAACTGACCAAAACTAATCGAATACTAATATTGATCCCTTCTTAACCAAATCCAATTTTCATTTTGAATCAAACTCACCAAAGTTGTCTTGTAATGTTCGAATACCTAAAACCGTAATTAAAGAAATACTAAAAATTCCAAACGAAAAACGTCAGAGGATGGCCCAAGGGAGGATCTACCCTCACCCCACAACTACCTTCGAAGTCCAACCAATTAAAACGATTAATAATTCTCTATAATTTTCAAGGAAAACGACTACTATAAAAAAAAATTAAAAAGATCATGTCACGACCCCCAAAAATTCCACCGACTCCATGCCTCCTTCAATGTTCCCACCACAAAAGTATAGACAATATGTAGATGAATAAATAGAAAGCTTTGCGAACAAGGAAAAAGAAGAAACACATCAACCCACAAATCCATTAATTACAGCTTTTATTGCCACCAAAAGAATTTATTTTTTCACTTCAATTTATTGTAATACGGTGGGAAAGACGTGGAAAGGCCCACGTGAATGCTCTGGGCAACACTGTACGACTCCCATGCCTCGAGACATGGGAGAGAGAGTAGAGAGAGAAATAGAGAGAGAGAGAGAGAACAGCACCCTGTTTCTTTCTTCTTCACTACAGGACTTCTTCACAAAAAGATAGCAATAATGGTAATAACATCAATAATAATGCTACACACAAAAAATTTTAATATTTATAGAAGAGGAAACCAGCAAAAACCCACCCGCAGATTTCACTAATTTCCTCTAAAACCCCAAAAAGAAAACACTTTCTTCTCCAAATGCCCTCGTGTTGGAGTATATGTGGGAATTCCTTTTCACCCCGACAAATCTAGCACGCTGCCATCAAATAAGACATTTCTGATTAGTTCAGAATTTATTCAACAAAGTAAAATAAACTGGACACAAAAATATTTTTGGGGAAATTTATCCTACACAAGTAAGGTGGACTTCCATATTTTACCCGAATATTTAGTTCCTATTGGCTTGAAAATCTCTTTTCAAGCTTAATCATGAAATTTCTCAAAATTACTGCATTATAAGACATGAGATTTAGGGCAAGGGGTCAATCTTTTCAACGCCACAACTAAGACATTATCAGTTTATATGGTAAGCAATGTTGTTAAATTTGCTTCGTCAGTCGAAACCTTCAGATTTTAGGCCTACGCCTACACCGAAGATACGTGAAGCCCAGTGCTACCATTTCGGTCATATTCAGGACGAAATATTTTTTGAAATTTGATTTTTAATTTTTGCCATTATTTTTATATATTTTATATATAAATATTTAATTTATATATTAAATTAAAAAAAACCTAATCCCCCAATAGGCCAAAACAACGAATTGCTTATTTTTCACACTAGAACTGAGTAAGACTAAGAAGCGAATATGACAACATTGGTGGCAACAGCAAACACAAATAAGTAGCGTGACGTCGAAAGATACCCCCATTACATGAAGGAATGGGCATTGGCATATTAGGGGCCACAAAAGAGAACGCGTAGTTGATTTTTACGCGTACTAAGAGAGAGAGAGAGAAAGACGTGTTAGAAAAAGAGGGTGGGTATATTAGTTGTGGTTATTAATGACTGACCTTTTCTTATTTGTTTTAATGGCAGGTGGAGAAACGAGAATCTTGTCCAAATGCCCCAAGCATCCTGCATGCCACTTCAAGCAATTTCCCTGCATTTCATTTTACCCAACAATTAATATGTTTCTTTTTCTACCAAAATGGCATGCAATGCAGTTCACTTTATTACATTTTCCACATTTAATAATCAAAATACACATCCAAAATAAATAACTAAATATTTCTGACACGAATAGCTACTACAATTCTATACGTATTGCATACACATTCATATCGACGGATAAAACTGGGAGAGAGAGAGAGAGAGGACGGGGGGTGTTAAAATTAACTACTAACCATAAATCTAATATACATCAATTCAAGGTATAAGCTTTTTTTACATGCAATAGGATAGCAGTAAGAGATTATTCCAATAATTTTGTACAGCTAATTTTTTGTGATTTTGTATTATATTTCAAAGTCTTCTTCAGTTTTAAAAAGTAGAGAATAAGGTGAACAAGGGGTTGAAAATGGAGAACGATATGGAATCCAATATGATGTTTTTTAACATTAAAAGGCACATGCATTGGACCATGCCAACTACTATTTAGACCTTGTCAACCCTTGACTCAATTTAGGGAAAAAAAAAGAAAAAAAAGAAGAAGGATCTTGGTTAACTTTGCTTTCGTTTGCAGGTATTGTCTTAATTTACCTCTCTAAACCCAATTAAGAAAAAATAAGAATAAAT